GCGGGAGTTTGAAATTATCGAGATTTCCGTGAGTTTGCGTGAAAGAGAAACGCTGTCAAAGACGTGAAGTTGCCAACCACCAAGTTTGAATTAAACTTGTAAGTCATCGACGGACTAGCCTTTCCGGTGGCTGTAACATCCCTGTACCATCAAAATCCAGTGTTTGCTATATCAGTTCTAAGTTTCATCGCTTCTGAACTAGTAAACTTACATTTAATGCAGGAAATACACACACTTAAATGCGAGAAATAAAATTGGAATCGATGATTCCAATTGAATAATTTCAATTCGAATCTATTCACAAACTGTTGCTTATTGTCCACTTTTGTTTCGCCAAATGCGCTTTTAATTATGCACTAATGAATGCATTATGTAATGAATATTTTGCACGTCATGCGAATATATTTCCATTTATTATTAATACATCGACCTTTCCATTTTGGCACTGTTATTTATACACAATCGGTCCAATTGAATTATTTAATGCACTTATCTATTATGCAACCCATTTAATATATAGCCGAATCGATGCTTTTGTATTCGCTATTACGTAAAACCAATTTTTTGTGTTTTTAAAATTTGATTAGTATATTAGAATATTTATTATAATAAATAAATTGTAAAATTTAATACTCAATAATAAATATATAAAAGAAGAGAAAAAAACAACAACTTTTAAAAATTAATATTTATCTAAAAATAATTACATAATCAAGTAAAACTCATTAAAAAAATCGTACTAAAAAAGTAGAATTGTAATAAATATTATACAATTATTAAATTTATACTGAAAAATTTCCTACAATAATAAGATATAAATATTTAGATTTTATTATAAATTAATGTTAGGTCATACAAAATCCTTAAATTCATTTATTTAGAATCAAATTATTTAGAATTTTTAATGTAATTTTTAAAGCAAAAGTGCATTCAGTAGTTGAGAACTTTTTTCTCTCGCTGAATTCTAAAGCGATGAAACAAAAAAAGGACAAGTTGTGTGAAATGCAACCATTAGCACGTAAATAAATTATGAAAATACCGGATGAATAATTGAAAAGTTTAATTCTATAAGCGTTGGTCGCAGTCGCAGAGCAATTTGAATTATTCATGCCCGAATAGATTCAAACAACTATAAATACTTTTCGCTTAACTGTTAACTGAATTTTTCAATTTTTATTGGTAAATACAATCGCTTAACGAGTTTAATCCGTAACAAAATTTCCGAATTTTAACTCGTATAGTGAAACATATTAGAAAATTCACATAATATGTGTACAAAAGTTTTAAAAATGAAGTAGCAGGCGCACAAACCAGGACTTCTCTTCTCATCGTCACTCGTTATGCGAAACTTAGCTCGTTAAGCGAGTCGTTATTCTTACAATTAATTTTCCTCGTTAAAAGAGGTGGTCGTTAAACGAGGTTCCACTGTACATTCAATTTCATACTTGAAATCTTTTAAAATTTGATGATACATCAAATATATTTATTGAATTTCGCAAAATTAACGTACATATTGTTTAATTTATTATAAATATTAGTTTGTTACATTAATATTTAATAATTAGAATAATTATTAATAAATTAATAATATTAATAAAAAACATAATAACAAATATTGAAAGATTGGACGAAATGAAATTAATTATTTACTTAAAAATATAAATTTAGTTCAAATAATATATTTATTTACTCTCATTTTGGAACAGAAATGCATGAATATTTATATAATAAATGTATTATAGCCGAAATAAAGTAATTATGACTAAATTTGTAATTTGTAAATTAATTGATTATTTAATTAATTTTTATGTTAATTGAAAAACAGAATTTATTTTGAAGCAATAATTTGGAATATTAAACGATTGTTATTTCAATGTGGCTTCAATCAAGCTTAAAAATGATTTATATTTTTTCTCTGTTCCTCGATTAGTCCGGAATTTTAGTGAAAAAAAAAACGATATTTATCCATTAAGTGATATTATTATTTTAGTAAGCAAATTGTACAATAATGCTTCAAATGCTGAGCAGCTCAAATTTTGAGTGCTTCGTGCTTTGGGAAATGTAAGCGAGTGGAATTAGTTGCAGCTTACGAATTATCCATTTCCAATACAGATTGATCTAGATTAAAGCATTTCCCACAATAGTTTTCATTAGCATAATGCAGACCAATATTTCCAAAAAAAATATTATAAATTTAACGTTGTATAAAATGATTAAATTAATATAAATTATAGGGCAACTAATAGCCGAATGGTTAAGCTAGTGGGGGCAGGTTCAAATACTGGTCAAGCCAGACCCTTTCTGAGCCCTCTCGGTGCTTGAAGCAAAAGGGTCATCGTTCATCATAGATGGACAGTGAAATGAATGAGGTTCAGTGAAGTGAAGTTAACCTACAAGACTACAGACAACCAACAAATTAAAAAATCAATTCATCATAATGGTTTACTTAATGTTCACATTGACCAACATATTGTGAATAAAATTACACGACATAAAAAAAATAGCAATTAAGTATGAATTTGCAGTATTTGAATATTATAATGTATCCCTGATTTCCAGAAAATAATCAATTATATGCTTATAAAATAATAACTAAATATTAACAATCGTCATGTTTGAAGTTGCAAATAAATTACTTATTCAAATGAAATTCATAACTTTGCATTTGAATAAGCAATTTTTGTTCTTAAATTTATTCTAATCCATTAATTAAACAAATTTTAACAAGTATATTTATAGAATTAATTTGATTTTGAAATTATTTTAATTCAGAGCTTTAGTTCTTCAATGAAAATTAAAGCATATTTAAATGAAGTAATTATAAACTGGGCAGGCAAAATGCAAATATTACTAAATGATAGAATAGTAAAATGATTAATGGGATCAAATGAAATGTCTGCCTTTGAAACTGAATACTTTAATTCTGATATTATTTTAATTCAGATTTTCATGCCCAAAGAATATTTCAAAAGAATTAAAGCTTATTAAAATGAATCAATTGTATAATGAACAGATGATTTATGAATTGTGTCAAATAAAGAATATACTCGAATAGAATTTTATTAGACAGAAAAAGCTAAATTACATGGATAATAAAAAAAATTAAAGAATCAAATAAAATAGTAAAATGAAATATAAACCCTAATTAAACAACGAAAAAAGTGATTAACAATAAAAAATAAAATTTAATGGAATGTAAATTCTCATCCACGAAGAGATGGAAATACTTTTAAAAAAAGAAATTAATATTAAAAGTAATAATAAATAAATAGGCATGAAAATAACATAATTATACTTCAAAATATACAAAAGAAGAGAAAATAAATTAAGTATTTGGTGTTTCTGAAATTTTATAAAACATAAGAAAGGCAACAATAAGAAGGAAAGAAAATAGGATGGAATTAAAAAAAAGATTAGATAAATTTGGGGTGAATACGAATACAGAATTTATTAAGTTAAGTTGGACTGTTTGGATATAAATTTAAAGAAAAGAAATGTGTCAAGGAAATGAACAATTTTAGTTTTGTAATACAGGATTATGAAGAGGATAATTTTAATATCGTATTTTGGTGAGAATACGAAACATAATAAATATTACATCTAAATATCACTTTTCGGACGATCGGCGTTTATATCCGCCGTAAAAGCTTTGGCGTTTCTGTTATCGACATACACCACAACGTAATAAAGCACAGTAGTTTTATAAAAAGACTTTTGAAAATGTTTTTATTTTGATATTTTTGTAAATCAAATTTTATATATAAGTTCGTCGGACAAATTAGAAACTAAATGACGGTAAAAATTATTGTATTAAAGCATAAACCAATTACAAAACTAGTTAATAAAAAAAATGAAAATTACGCAATTTTAATTGTCTTGTTTTCAATATAATTTGATATTATTTTTGTTCGAATTTGATCATGTTTCTGGCTAAATGAGCTCAAGCTCACATATACGCCACCCCTTTATAACAAATACCACTTTATCTTATATGTAAGTGCAGATACAGCATTTTTAAAATTGAATTGAATTGTTCGAATTTGAATATTTACATACATTGAGTGCATGAAAGAAAACTAGAAAATTTGTTTTTAAATAGAAATTTCAATAAATTATCGATTCGAAGTTGCTCAACTTTGTGTTATGCACACACACACACAGAACGAGTGACACGTACTCAAGCCGTTGACAGGGAGAGAAGAAGACTAGAAGACGGAGGAGGAGAACACATGAAGTGGAAGTCGGTGGTATTTATGCGCGCTCCGAAGGATTTACATTGTTTGACATTCGATGAAGGGTCGGAACGAGAAAAAAATATTAAAGAGAACAAAAAAATTATACAAAAATGTTTGAGTTTTATAAGTGGCGCGCGCGTTTGGTGGTTTTTCAGCTAAAAAGCATTGGTGTTCCCGGTAATGGCTTTCGCATGATGTTGTTCTTTTCGACTACGTACGTACGTACGTGGTCCTTGTTAAACATACTCTCGTTGTTTTTTTTATCCCTTCTTCAACCCTGCCATTTTGCATGGCGCTGATCTCCGGAATAACGAGCTGCGCTGCGAGGTATGTGGTGCTGCACGAGTCGTTAGATATATCGGCCAGGGCATTTTTCTCGTCTCGCCTCGTCTCCCTCGACGCCATTTTATCATGTTTTCTTTCATACGCAGGACATATAAAGAGGGCGACGTGTATGAGAGATAAAGTTATTATGATGCAATTTGTTACGCTCCAAATTGGAATTTCCGCCGTTAAATTATGCCACCGCTTTCTTAATCAGCAAGAGGAGGAGAGGACGAATATGAGAAGCGAAAAAAAAAAGGTTGAAGGATAAGGATTTTGAGAGCATGATGGAATAAGGACGATGTTGAGATGGAAGAAAGAGGATGATGATGACGATGATGAAAAAGATGGCAACGTTCGGCCCATTTGTTTTTCTAGCTTGTAAATTGGGATAATTGGCAATGGGAGTGGATGATAATGATAATAATAACGAGCACTTACATTGCACTCGGAAGGCGAGCTCATTACTGAGGGTCTCCCCTTCCGTATTGACTGCCGAGCAAACGTATCTTCCGGCGCTTTGTCTCGTCACCTTCTGCAGGACGAGGCTCTGGTTGCTCCGGATTATCCTTGCCGACATGTTGTGATTTAGCACGACGCCCTGGAAGCACAACAAACCGAGGAAACCATCAGAAACATTTACACACATATACACATCTATATATATATATATAAATACACAGACCGAAATCCGGAAGCGACAAATGCCAACGCCACCACCTAAGTACGCTGGAAACTTGACAGGATAACGCGTTTCCTAATTGGATGCAGCCAGCATTGCTCATTTTTACTACCCAACAAGTTGTATAAGCTTTGTCAAGCAACAAGAATCATGCGCATTTTCAGTTCATTATCATTAATTTTGTAACGCTGCACCTACACTGCATCTAACTTAAGACATGCATATTTACAGTTTGTACACGTGACATATGTTTATGTAATAATTAATCGTACTGTGGATGCACCTTGTTCACGATTCAAAGCGCATTATTAATTAAAATAAGAAACTTTACTAACTCTTGCCTTATTGATATCTAAGCAGTGTACATAACAGTTTGTATACCTGATAAATATACTTAATTTTCTGAATGTAAATTGTGATTGTTTTTAGTTTCCATCGCTTTATCAATCAAAATATTAAATATTCATAATTTTCTTCTTAATAAACTGACAGTTTCAAATTCACTCTATACACACTTAGTAATTAGTACGTCTGAAATATGTATATACCATAGGATATATTTTTTTAGTTTTTAACCATTTTACAATCAAAATAATGAAAATTAATAATTCATATTTTATTAAACTCACAACTACAATTGCACACTGTATACATATAGTAGTTAGTACATCTGTCAAACTTCTATGTAATATTCTGGATGCAAAATCAATCAAAACAATAAAATTAAAAACTCATGTTATTAATTTACCAGCTACAATTTATATAGTAATTGGTACACCTGACAGACGTGTATTTCACGTGTTAAGCATGGATACACCAATATCATACAGCATCACCTTGCATAGTGCGAATTTGATCTTCTGTATCTTCTATAGTCGGGTTGAAAAATTTCAAATTAAACTAAATTCTAAAAAATGGTACACAAAAAAATATGTATATTTTTCCCACTAGCACTTTGACTCAATTATTGAATATTAATTAATTAATTAAATAAATTTGATTTAATGAAACTTGAATTAATTATATAATTATGAAAATTGTAATAAATTATATATTTATTAAAATGATCTTTATTTGATGCAATTAATGCAAGAAGTTTCTGTATTTTTCTTTAGTGTTGAAGGTGAAAATGTACAGCTTTGTTATTTTGAGTTATGGTTATGGAAGCTTGTCTGGGCATGGATGCACCAATATCATACAGCAACACCTCGCATAGTGCGGATTTCATCTTCTGTATCTTCTATAGTCGGGTTGGAAAATTTCAAATTAAACTAAATTCTAAAAATGGTACACAAAAACTATATATTATATATATATATATTTCCCACTAGCACTTTGACTCGATTATTGAATATTAATTAATTAATTAAATAAATTTGATTTATTAATGAAACTTGAATTAATTATATAATTATGAAAATTGTAATAAATTATATATTCATTAAAATTATCTTTATTTAATGCAATTAATGCAATGAATTTTCTGTATTTTTTCTTTAGCGTTAAAGGTGACAATTTACTGCTTTGTTCTTTTGAGTTATGATTATGGAAGCTTGTCTGAAGGCAATAGTGTTATATGGTTTATACCATTAAGTTAGAGTAAAATGAATGAGTATGAAATGGCTTCAACTGCATTACTAAAAGAGAGCCGCGGGACTGCATACGACTATTCCGAGTATTGTAAGTGACATATGTACTTACTAAATAAGTATGACTGAGTAGTAGTTCCAGAGGATAATAATACTCGAGGAAAATACAAAAAAAAATGTAAATTACAATAGAAAATTTACGTTATATTTATTTGAAAACTTCTATTAGTTTTAATTTGGTGGCAAAAGATTATCAACCATAATTTGTTTGTCTTAATGTTAAGAGAAATTTTAAAATCATGTTTTTAATATAATCGTTTTATTTATGAAAAGTTTGATGTATTTTTTAAAAACTAGTACAAATAGTTATGTAATAATGTTAAAAATTAAGATGAAATTTCTTTAATTATTTAGAGAAATTTGAAGTATTATTGAAACACGTTTTGGGGAATGCTCGACTAATTAATATGTACATCCAACAGTTGATAATATAATGAATGAAATTGTAGTATCAAAGAGAAACGATTAAGCAAGTTCCGGTTGGTTGGTTGGTTGGATGTACATGCAGATAGTAAATAGTCCAGATTCTATCTAACACAATTTGAATCAAAGCCATTAGATTTCGACCGAAGCACATGTTCGTGACTTTATCAAGACCGTCGCGTTTCATCACACCAAGACGGATTATCTTTAATTATCCGAACGACATCCAATTGGTCGTCTTGGCTGACTGCTGCAGAAAGTACGAGAACTGTAGCTTACATATATATATATATATATATATATATAGATACTTCTGCAAGGGGTGGCTCAGATTCCAAGGGGGATGAAAACGTGCGAGTGCAAGGGAGAGAGGAATAGAGAGATTTGGCCTAGATCTCCCTCCGATCAAATAAAATTCTTTCAACAGATTGCTATCGCGTTCGGGCGACTGCACGAACCAAATTTATTAAGACTTATCACCGTCTTCCAATCAAAACTACGCTCACTAATCTTGTTGCTCCTTCTACAGTTACACCCGCATCCATCCCACGTCCAATAACATAACTTGTGATAAAGGTCCAACAATTAACTAAATTCGTACTACTCCAATACCCAACATCAATCAAAGCCTACATCAACTCTTCCACCCTCAAAAAAAAAAGAAACAATCCCAGTTTATTTGTTATAAATCAGACAATCAAAATCAAAAGCTACATCAACTCTTCCACCCTTAAAAAAAACAACTCCAGTGTATAAGAGAAACAAAAATAATAAAATAAAGAGACTTAATTTGTACTCTTCTTCCAATATCCAACATCAACCAAAAGCTACATCAACTCTTCCACCCTTAAAATAGAAACAACCCCTTTTTATTTATTATAAATAAGACAATCAAAATCAAAAGCTACATCAACTCTTCCACCCTTAAAAAAAACAACTCCAATGTATAAGAGAAACAAAAATAATAAAATAAAGAGACTTAATTTGTACTCTTCTTCCAATATCCAACATCAACCAAAAGCTACATCAACTCTTGCACTCTTAAACTAGAAACAACCCCAGTTTATTTATTATAAATAAAACAATCAAAATCAAAAGATACATCAACTCTTCCACCCTTAAAAAAAACAACTCCAGTGTATAAGAGAAACAAAAATAATATAATAAAGAGACTTAATTTGTACTCTTCTTCCAATATCCAACATCAACCTTTAAAATAGAAACAACCCCAGTTTATTTATTATAAATAAGAGAATCGAAAAAAATAAAATAACGAGAGAGAGAAAAATACATGTATAAAAATGAAGCTGCGGATGCGGCTGTTACAGATTTTACGGCCATCCCCGTTCGGAGTGAATTCATCAATTTGCATATAGTGCGTTTCGCGATTTTATTATTATCATTGTGTTCCCCTCTCTCTCTCTCTCTCACTGATTCACCCATCACTTTTTCTCTCTCCGATTCACTCTTTCTATACATCTTCTTTCTCTCTCTTTTTTTCACATGTGCTGTATGGGTATGGGCGAAACAATGGGTGACCGTAAAAATCGGCACCGTATCTGCCGCCGCACCGAAATTATCCCCATAAACATATTTATGGGGGCGAAATTGCAACGGGATTTTTACATTTTATTTTCGATACGGAACGTCGCTCCACGCAGGACCGACCGCAAAAATAAAAAGGATATATATATATAGATATATTTTTCACATCGAATCTTTTCCTCATCTATAAACATGTCTCTCCTCCTTTCCTCGCACATATTTCTCACCCGGAGGGCTGCGAAACAAATGACGACGAGAAACAGGAAGGATCACAATTTTTTGCCGTCCGCAAAACAAAGGTTTGACGAAATCACAAACAATTGGTTATTAGAAGCATCATCAACATTTTTCTGTATATTTCTCATTTTTTCTTTTACAGAAATTTATTTTACAAAGACAAGACGTGTGTTGGACTCAAATGACATTTTGTACTATGAAGACGATAATTTTACTGTACATTTAGTAATTCCGGCCGGACTGTTTGAAACAGACTTTAAATACGTATATAAATAAACAGAACAAAAAGAGATTTAATTTTAAAAGAAAAATAAAACTGATAATTTTTGTAGAAAAATTTAGTTTGTTTTAAATTTTTCAAACCGTACTATACGAGGACTGATCCGAGCTGATCAAATCCGCACTATGCAAGGTATTAATGTACATAATAATTGAACTCTTCTATCAATAATGATAATTATATTTGTAATAATTAAAAATAAACACTTTTTTTCAATTTATATGTATAAAAAAAGAATTATAAAAGAAAATTAAAATCACTTTCACTTAATGACCCTAATTGTAATCATATTATAAAACGTGTTTAGTCAATGTGTACATTTACTATTAAAATAATAAAATTACTTTGTAAAAAATTCCATTTTGTTCTAGTAATTATAATTAGTTAAAGTATAGAAAAAAAATAATAACGAAAAATACAGACAATTTTATTAATTTCACTTTAATTCTATTTAAATTAAAAATATTGCAAAAAATAAATACTTTCATAGATTAATATTCACAATAATTTTGAATGAATTTGTTAAAATACTTAAAAGTTGCAATTATTGATAAACAATTCGTAAATATTAAGCAAGTATATTTTTTTTGTAATAGACTAAAAAATATTAAATAATTTCAATTTTATTTTAATGGCAAAATGTAGAAAGAACTTAATTTATTCTATGAAATATAATAATTTTGTTTGAATTTAGTCAAGTAGTTCAATGCTTAGATTCATGCAATTAATAAGTAGTATAGAAAGTACTTGCTTTGTGGTAGGAAATTGAATAAAAAAAATTACAAATAGTTTATTTAATTAACAAATTGCAAAGTATTCATTTGCGTGAAACGCGCTTGGAAGTATTTAAATTATTAGGAACGTCAAGGATTTCCATTTATGTTTATTTTTATATATTTCTATTCGTATTTTCATGTTTTTCGCATAAATTGAAACCGCTTCGCTTTGAACTTTTTCAAATATTTTAACTCATTCAGAGTGGCAGCATTCGTTTGTGCTTGCCGCCATTCTGTTCATAAATATATATATTTTATTTTACTTCTTTTTTTTATAGAGCAGAGAAAAACGAAGGAAGGGGAAGGACGAAGGGTGAACGCGGTTTGCGTACTCGAAAACCTGACGATGTTGTAGGGACTTTTAATTATTCATGCCGCTCGAAAGTGGTTGGATGGGTCAGGACCACTTCTGGTCTAATTGATGCAAGCCCGTAGATTATCTGATACGGTTAACACGAAGAACATGTCAGTCTCTTAGTTAACAATACCAAAGCTTTATGTAGTTAACAAAATCATTAACATCAAGTTAATTATATAAATAAAACAATCATTTACAAGGGGTTTACCAAATATTCGCTAAGTAGGCGTTAATTAATTTAGTTCTAAAAAAACAAAAGATATTTGTCAATTTGTTAAAGTCTAACGATATTTCAAGTCAAATTTCAAGAATACTGCTTTTTTCAAATCTATTTTTTAATTTGCTCAATTAAAATTTAGTCTATTTTTTAAATTTCAAATCAAATTATAGCGAATCCGGACTGATTGGAACCGGACTATGAAAGTTACTGTTGAATGTGAATTAATGTAATTTAATTATAACTAATTCATCTTCTTCGTTTTATAAGAGATTGCCCTTCGATTCACGTAATCACTATAATTACGTTCTTCGCATTTATCGTTCATCTTGTGCTTCTTGCGAGAGTCAAATGTTTTAATTTCAAAGTCGAGTATTTGCTTAGCGAGAAATCACGCTCGGCTTCTTCTATATTTTAATAAAAGCATATAAATTTAAGCGCTTTCCGGCTCTTCCACTTCCTACGGCAGCAAACAAGAAAAAAAAAAGACGCAGCATAAAGTGAGAAATGAGTGAAAGAAGAAAAAGAAATGATGAAGAAGTCAAAGTTGAAGCTGGAAACGGATTAAAATAAATTTTTATTGGAATCGTCACGTCCGGAGTGGAGCGAAAGACGAAAACGCTGTTTTTCCTTTTGTTTCGCCCTATCCGCATAATAAATATTTGAAATATATGGATGAGATTATTTGGCTTCCCCTTTTCCTCATACTCCTTCAAAACCCATAAAAATTCAATAGCTTATCTTCCTCCAAATGTTTTCTTTTACTTTGCGCAGCGTTTCAGCTTTTACAGGTGCCGGCTGATTTATATTTCATATGCATAGAGGAAAAAAGAAAGGTGGAGAAGAGATGGGAGTAGAGGAGCGCCTCAGTGCAAAAATGATATTTTCTTGTTTCATAGTTTCGCAATATTTTCCTTTTCGGGTAATAGGAATTTTAATAAAATATACGATTTCTCTTGGATGTAATAACAGACAAATAGTTTGCGTTCAATTGGTTGGAGAAAAACGTACATGGCAAGGTTGAAACGTCAGCGAAAAATTTAACACTCTTGATTTACATAAGCGACTTTGAAGATACGTTGGAGGGTTGGAGATACCACAATAATCTGGAAACTATGTTGCAGCGACGACGGAGACTCGGGTCAGTTTTGGGTCAATATTGACAAGAAGATATTGATTTCACTGGATCTATACTCCCTTCTACTGATTTTGTTATTAAGCCTACGCAGCTATACTATGTTTATATTAAGTTCAGAAATAGAAACTAAAGATAATATTAACAACAAATTCCAACATTATATAGTAATATAGAAAATAATTATGAAATAATGAATAAAATAGTTTTTAATCATAGATAATGAAGATTTGAAAATAAGAGAAAATATTAATTTAATTTTTCATAGTATCAGAACGAATATTGTAAATTCCATAAAAATACTGAATGTTTTATGGATAGAAACATGAATCCAACAAATATTATTAAAATTCTTAAATATTTGAAACATAAATATGTTTATTTATAAAAATCATGTGAACGTAAATTTTGTATTAACATACAAAAAATATATAAATTCAGGAAGGACTAGACTTTATCGTTTAAAAGTAAGTTGTTGTTGTTGGGGTAAAGAAGCCACATATTTTAAAATTGGATATGTTGAAATGTCGTTGAAATGATACAAATATTACTATGAACGTTGTCATATTTGAAAGATGATGTACTGAAAGAAATTTTCATTTCGGTTGTTTTGATCGGTCGGTGGATGCGCCGGGTTTCTGAAGCCATGAAGCGATCCGGGGGTATTTTATACATGCATTCTATACGAGGATTGGCGGCGGGGGAGAGGTTATAGGTCGACTGATGCGCGTGTATCGACGGCAGCATATGTTTCTGCACCATTCGCTCCTTCTGTTCGTTCATAGCTCATTAAGTTTCCCATCTCTCCTTTATCAATCTACTACAGCATCGATCCGCACAAAACCCTCTCCCTCCACATCAGAGAGGAGAAGAGATACCCGATAATCGGAGCCGGCGGTTTTCGGGGATGATTTTTATTCGGCGCTTAAATAAATTTCATCCCCGCCAAGAAGAAGAAAAAAATTGGGTAGAAAAAATAAAATAGTAGGATGAGGTAGAGGAAAATGCGCGCCGATATGAAAACGGAATGAATCATTAAGATTGCGGACGCCCCCCCAGGAATTATTTTAATGGAAGGGTAGAGAGAGGGATGATTCGGGGCGCGCGCGTCGGCTCTTTGTCTAATTGAAATTGTGATTAATGTTCGCGGGGCCCCGGTTTTTGATTGAAGAATTAAAAGATGGATCCGGGGGTGGATTCAAAAAAAAACATGCGAAAGGGTGGATGAATGGGTTTCCTACTCCCCCCAAAGACACGGCGCGGAACAAGGGAAAATATTGATGTTGTGCCAATACGCTGTCTCGCGACTTAACGTTTCGATTCCGGCTCGTTTGAGAATGGAAGCGGAGGCGGCGGAGAAAAGGGGGGAAAATCAATCAGCTGAATTTTGACATCTTTATGCATCTGACATCCAGGCGAAAACATTCCTGCACTTTGCCTTGACAATTTTTCCAGCGTACGTCAGCGTAACGGAGTATAAGAAATAAAAGCACAAATGTATGTGCTACTCGCTCCCCCCTTTCAGTATATAACATATAAAGGAAATAATCAATCGGATTACAACCGTTTGATGTTCTTATACGTATATATGGCTTTAGGAAACGGATGACCCAGACGGAGAGAGGTTGATGATGAAAATTTCCCCTGACATTGCATCTCTTCAATTCGCAAGCGGTATTACTACATCATCATCGATTTCCCAAACCGTTTCTCATTCCTCACGTGGGGCGGGCGGGTAGATTGAAAATGGTAAAATTTTTCAATATTTACTACTTACGTCGTGTAGCCAGGTGAGACGTCTCCAAAAGGGATTCGCCTTGACGTGACACTCGAAGTAAACGTCGTCGCCTTCCTTGATGTCATCCGGGTTCAGAGTGCTTCCCAATCTGAGCGAGACGATTGGAGGATCTGAAAACAACAAAAACAATAGGTATTGTAACTGCAACAACAACAACATAGAAAAAAAAAACAAAGAATAACAACAGCGACAGAAACGAAAGACGCCTCGTATAAATCATTGATAGACTGTTGTGCTGTCAGGGAGATGGGTAAACAATGCCCGAAATGAGCGGAGGAGATTCTAAAGAAGAGACGGAATGGGGATTGCTGCTGCAGAGGTAGGCAGACGAGCGCAAATGGGGTGAATCCTGATGATTATTTCCTACGTCTCTCCAGTGACCCATTCGGCCCCCCTTTTATTTTATATCCCCCCATATAAAAAAAAAAGATGAAGCGAATCTGTCTCTCTTTCCTCTCCTTCTCTCTTTTTTTTCCTCCTTCCTTTCGAGGCCCTTTTTTTGGACGCAGGAAGTCACTTTATCCATCCACAGAAATTCAATAGTCTCCACTGGATTAAGAACCATTCAGTTACGATTTTTATATTCCCTTTTATATATCAATAAATATTATATTGCAGTATCCTTATACATCAGAAACTTAAGACAATTTCATACAAGATTATAGAATCACAGTTATTTTTTAGTATAATTATAAAATGTATAAAAAAAATATTTACATATATTTATTTCAATATGAATATAAAAATGTAATTTAATTCTTTTAGAGAAGATTTTTTTTTTCAATTTTCAAAATTAACTTATTTTATTAATTGGTTAATATTAACAGAAAAATGTAATTATTATACAAAATTTATTCTTTTTTATTTATTAAACACATATTTCTTGCGATTAATGTGATTCTTTAATGTTTATAAAATATATGAAAAATTGTATTATTAAATTTAACTAATATGGAATTATTCAATTACGTTGAAAAATCAAATTTTAATACAGAAAAATATCCATAATGTGAATAATAAATGGAGAACGATTCTTTTCTTCCCTTTTTTGGATAATGTAAGATCAATATGTGTGGTGAATAGATATAGAAATTCTGTGCAGTTTCCACTCACACCGAAGCCACACGATCTTCCATTCTTTTCGTCTTCGCGTCTTTGTATGTGTCTGCAAGTGTGTGCACATGTACGTGAATGCACGTGTGTATGTGTGTTTTTATTGTGGAAAACCAATTTGCATTTCAATCCTGGCCAGGATATTTCGCGCACCGTATGCACGGGAGCGTGGATGTGGAAGAGAAAAAGGCTTCGAGGAGAAAAGAGATGCTCCCGTCTTCAGACAATATTGAGGTGAGGAGAGTAGGTAGACATTGGCTACAGAGTGTTCTTCGAGCAACGAAAGAGAGAGAGAGGACAAAGAAAATGTAGCGAACCAATAACCGCCAAATTGATTCGTTTCACTTCTTTGTATAGATGTTAAGCAAAGAGAAAATAAAAATTGTAACGTTGTTTGATTTTTACAAAATTGATTCCAAACAGAATATATTGAAAGTTTTTTTTTTAAATATATTTGTTTGGTACTTATTAGATTTATAAATATTTCAACAATTCAATCCAAAACATAGAATTAATTGAAATACAATTTCTAATTTCTTACATCATATTTCATATACAAATATTTTTTTTATAAATTTTTGTCAAAACTATTTCTTATTGTATTTTAATAGGAATATAATAAAACATAATTTCAGTTGTTTTTATGTTCGGTTAACGAAAATATTTAATTCCAGAATTGTTCGTTAACCGAATTAAGAAGTGGATTAAACTTTACATAACTACTAGTGTTAGCTCCCAATACTAACGTTAATCAGTTTGTAAGAAGTTCGTTATACGAATCTGACTTTAGAACTTAAGAATCTTTAATCATTACTGTTAATTGAAATCTTTAATAACAAGTAAATTTTCTATAAATTCTAACGCTAAGAATGGACTGAAAATAAAAACTTGTGATTCTGAATGGAATATATTTTTAGATTAACTTATTATATATGAAAATATCAATGTACTTACACACGACGTCAATTTTCCAAGAAGTTTCCAGAAAGAGGCCCGTGACGTTCGGGTTTTCCGCTCGGCAAGTTATAGATTTGCCGTCGTCCTCGGTCGTCGGGACGAAGCTCAGCTCACTGATCGTCACATTCTCCCGGTTTTCCTCCTTTACCGGAAGAGAACACAAATAAATGAAAAAAAAATGTTAGTATTATTATCATTCACTTATTTTACTGTGGTTAGAGTAGTTGGCGAAAGGATATATATATAAAAGATCGAAAAAGTGATGGAGAGAAAGAGCAAACATAAAATACGGATTAAGTGCACTAAAACTCAATTAATTACAACTTTAGAAGCGTATACACACACACATTCGCTTACTCCAGATGAGAAGAGAAAACAAAAGTTTTCGACGGGGGTAGCAGTTACTTCGGATCAAAGTTATCTAAAACTTATGCACACTCTTCTCACACCACACACACACACATATATATATATATTCTTTCACATTTACACACTAATACTGATGCAAGCGCATGCACATACACGTTTAATCCTCAACAAATTTCCCCCGTTACAATAAGAAACCCCGGCGCGCCAAGATTAAAGGCTCGTTTCCTCAGTTTCTTTCTTATATTTAATCTCCGCCCGGAAACGTAAACGTTATGTTTACTGCCACATCTATATCCGGCTTTATCTTTACGACCGGCCACCGCCGCATTCATTTCTGGAACGCAATCAATATAAATTTCCTACTAACGGATAAAAAACTAATTGAAGCAGTGCACAATTCTCAACCTTAATTCTCTTATAAAATAATGTTTGATGAAATCATTCTTGAATCATAAAAAAAGGATTATATTCGATTAAAAAATTTTATAGTTTCATTTAATTCAATTCATTTTTTTATATAAGTTTTTTTCATTTTTATTGTAGAAATAATAAATTAGATTATTTAGATTTTTATGAAAATTTATAGAAAAAAATTAATGAAACAAGCAGTATATTCGTATTATTTTTTAATAACTTTAATACACATTTATTATTGAAGTTATTAAAATAAATTATAAGAAAATGTACTTAATAAATAATTTTCTACAAAATTAACACTGTCATAAAAGAAGCGTTACCATTTTCCTTTTCCATAACTTTGATTTGAATAATTTAAATATTTCAATTTTGGATCCTAACTCTACATAAACCTTATAATTTTTCATAAAAAGAATGAAAATAGCTTTTGTTGTATTGATGAAAATGTATATAATAAATAAGAACACTAAATTTTGGAAAAAAAATCCAATAAGATAAATTTCAATTAGTTTAATTAGTTACAAAAACTTTAGATTTTTTTAGATTGATTTAATAATAACACAAACTGTTCTATAAACGTGAAATCTTTGGAACAAGAATTTTCATAATTATTTGTTCAATTTCTTGAAAAATCTTGTTTTTTTTTTTCACCTGAATTAAATATATTTATTTTTTTATGAATTAGACATGAAACAAAATCTATTCTAATTTTTTTATTAATTAAGTTATTAATTACAAGTATATTTAGTTGCGTTTAATACAGAAAAAATAACGATTTGCGAAACAATGGGAAACTTCTTCGCCCGTCAATTTTAACGGTGCGTTTAATTCAATGTAATTATTTGCAAATGCAAAGCGGCTTTTCGGTTGTTATTAATTATGGAAGTTGAGGTGGCAGTTAAAACCCGCGCGCGTTGTTCTCAACAATTAAAATTAAGGACAATGTCGGGAACGGACGAAAGGGGAAAAACGCCGACGAATAATTTATTTGTTATCGTTAAATCCAAAACGTGTATTACATTCCCAAACCATCTCATGTTATATATATATAAATTTTTTTATTGTTGTATAACTCTCGCTCCCCTTTTAGCTAGACGCGAATTTGGCGCCCAAAACCGCCGTAATTTCGCTAATTAATTTAATGTAATTAATATTTGTTTGCCGTTTGTTGATGATTAAATTGCTGCGCACAGTTTTGCTTAAACACAATGGTAACGCGGTATCCAACAGCGGCGTCGAAAGCCCATTCCGACGAACAAATTGCCACAGAAATATTTTGTAATTAATTTAATTCCGACAAAATCTCTCTCGCTCGCTCTCTGTCTTCTCCAAATACTTTGACACTGTATCTTTCTGATTTCATTTCAGTACAAATATCATATGTTATCTGTTTGATCTTACCAAATATCGATTTAAAATTGATCATGATTAAATCCTTCAGACATCGAATTAAGTTCGAAACTTTTGTATTTGAGGAGGGAAGAAAAACTTTGGTCGATAGTCCTTTTGTCAAAAAACAATATATTTTATAATAATTTTAATGTATTCAATCATTGAATTCTGTTCTCAAACTGGTTTTTTTTAAATAAAATTCGGTTCCCGAACAAAAATTTCAAATATTCATATTTCAAACTCATAATTAGTCGATTTATAATTGGTCATCAAACGCAAATTTAAGATCGATTTATTTTAATTTGAGAAGAACAGAAATAGTCTAGTCGATTACCTAATGACCTCATTGAATTCGGTTACGGAACAAAAATTAGAAATATTGATATTTCAATCTCATAATTAGTCGATTTACTAATTAGAATACAAATTAAATAATACTAAATATATGTAGTATTATAAATTCAAAATAATGATTTTACCATATATCGATTTATAATTGGTCATCAAACGCTAATTTATGGTCGATTTATTTTAATTTGAGAAGAACAGAAATAGCCTAGTCGATTAACCTAATGACCTAAGACTATTAAATTTAATAATAATTACAATTTTAATGTATAATTATTCATTGAATTCGGTTCCCGAACAAAAATTTCAAATATTGATATTTCAATCTCATAATTAGTCGATTTACTAATTAGAATACAAATTAAATAACACTAAATATTTGTAGTATTATAAATTAAAAATAATGATTTTACCATATATCGATTTATAATTGGTCATCAAACGCTAATTTGAGGTCAATTTATTTTAATTTGAAAAGAACAGAAATAGTCTAGTCGATTACCTAATAACCTAAGACTAATAAATTTAATAATAATTACAATTTTAATGTATATATTATTATTAAATATTATTTTAAACTTATAATTAGTCAAATTACAAATTAAATAATTACCTTACTTTAAATATTATTAGTATTACAAATGAAAACTAAAAGTTTGTTCAATAAATATTGAGCGGAGTAGACAAAAGCTAAAGCTAATTGAAATCCTCCTTTCCGAATTAATTAACTACAAATAGGAGCTAACTATAAAGTGCCGCCTCTCTCTTTCTCTCTCGAGCGTTCGTTTTATTTTATTTTTATTTATTTTTTTTGTTCTATTTCATGGAAATTAACTCAATTTGTTGCCCGAACTGGGGCGCTTTTATTTGTACGCGTATGCGTTAACGAAGCCCAATTTAATTAAAAACCATGTAACATCATTAAACGCCATTCGAATGCACAGCAACAACAGCAAAAAAAATTGTACATGTATACACACACATACACCGAAAGAAGAGCGAATTGACATAACATGGAAATAAAACAAAAGCGTTAATAAAAAATATATATATATATATACGGAAGGAAGGGAAATAGAGTGATGTAGGAGAGTAATTGGGGCCGGTCGTTACGGGACGGAAATGGTTGCATAAACTTTTGCCCTTTATGCTTTCTTGAATTTTATTATTTCATGTTTCTGCTCTCCTCCGGAGTGCGCAAAGGGAGAAATAATTAATCAGGGAAAAAAAAACGAACAAATATATACAAACAACGTGAAGAAGAACAAGAACAACAACAACAAAAAATATGCATCGAGCATGGAACTTGTTTACGCTACTCTGGATGTCGTAAAGCGCCCTCAGGAATCCCGAACTTAATTAATGAAAACAAAGTTGGGAAATTGTCTCCGTTTCATGTTTAGCGGAATCCTATGAATTTATGAGAAACTCAAGGATTAATGAGTTTTTTTTATTATTTAGTAAATATCTTCATAAATGCAACGTCGAGTGTTTTGAAATTTATATAATTATACACAGTTATTTGCACATATATTTGTTCGTACTAATAAAAGTCGTGTTATTTGATACTTCAAATCCTCATTGTACATATATTTTTAACTGACGAAGATTTTATACAAGTTCCATGGTTCACCAGATGCCAAACTATGATCCTAATTGGTTTCGTGTTATTCAAAATCGTGTTATTAATTACTTCAAATCCATATAAGTTCCTTGTTAAATAAGAGCTTAACTGGTACCGAGGTTATCAAAATCGTGTTATTTAATACTTCACATCATCATTGTACATATGTTTTTAACTGAAGAAGATTCTATACAAGTTCCATGGTACACGAGATGCCAAACTATGATCCTAATTGGTTTCGTGTTATTCAAAATCGTATTATTAAATACTTCAAATCCACATATAAATACATGGTGGTTTTTATATAAGTTCCTTGTTAAATAAGAGCTTAACTAGTACCGAGGTAATCAAAATCGTGTTATTTAATACTTCACATCATCATTGTACATATATTTTTAACTGAAGAAGATTTTATACAAGTTCCATGCTACATGAGATGCCAAACTAAGATCCTAATTAGTTTCGTGTTATTTAATACTTCAAATCCACATATAAATACATGGTGTTTTTTTTTATATAAGTTCCGTTTTAAATAAGAGCTTAATTGGTACAGAGCTAATCAAAATCGTGTTATTTAATACTTTACATTCTCATTATACATATATTTTTAACTGTAGAAGATTTTATGAGAGTTCCATGCTACATGAGATGCCAAACTAAAATCCTAATTGTTATTCAAAATTGTGTTATTTAATACTTCAAATTATGTATTTTTATGTACATATGTTCTTAACCAGACATTTTTTCTACATTTAACAATAATTATCGGGATTTATATTGGAATTAGAGCACTTTTGATTCTTTTTTTATATATTCATAAATTTATTTTTTTATACTTAATGTAAATTTAGTTGTGTATATATTAATTAATTAAAATAATATAGTATTTGTAGGGCAAAGAGATGATTAATTAAAAAAAACTTTTCGTATGTAAACATAAGTAATTAGAATTGGAAATATTGTGTTTATGCAGGGCGGATTAAAACGGGTTTTGGGTTCCGGGATGAATGTATGAATGAATGGGCTTTCCGTGCACGCGTGGATGGTTTTCGGTATTCGGAAAGTTTCGGTTAAGGGATTTTCTAAATATTAGCTCAAACACAAAAGGGCCGTTCTCGCGTGCGTTTAATGCGACCTCGATATACGCACAGACGATGATGAGTGTAAAGGGTCGAATCCCTTATATATTTTTCGCTTTGAAGCGAAGATGTTTTAACGAGGCGGATGTCGTGCGCGACGTACCTTCGTCCTGCGGAGTTGCCTTTTGCCTTTGTACCATGTTATAATGGCGGGAGGTCGAGATCCTGCCGATTCGCAGGTCACTTCATATCTACGGTCCGCGACGAGTGGGCTTACTGTCTTCAGGATAGTCGCCGTCAGCGGCTTTACTGTAACAAGATAACAAACATCTCTCTCAGGTATTACGTCTTCTCGAGGAACTTTTGGCGTCTGCCGAGGATTAATTTTTGGGAGAGGACTTACAATGTAGATCGAGCATGACGATGGCTTCTTTCGGCTCTGTTAGGATGGTGTTGACCGCTTGGCAGGTGAAGATTGCGTCCAGGTCCTTCCTTCCTATAGTCGGCCAAACCAGACGATTCTCGATGACATCTCCAGCGTTGTGCTCGTATTGATCGTCCACGAGTAATCCGTTCACCATCCATCGCACCACCGGCTGAGGATGACCTCCAACCGTTCTGCATGTCAGTGTTATATCATCGCCTTCCTCGTGAGGACCCACGCTTCCGTTCAACTGTCTCCCCCATTTATCCAAAATCGTAGGTTGCTCAGGCGGAACTGCAATTCAGAAAGAACAAAATCAAAATAAATAATTTTTGAATAATTATATAACTTCAGTATGTCATTCCCACTTCAAAGAATCCCTAAGTATTTATTATTTTTAAAGTTTGTTTGTAACCCTTTTGATAACTTAAGTAACGTCTCTACAGAACTAGTGTCAAAGCTTAATCAAAAACATGTCTGAAGAAGACTAACGACGTCTTGCTAAGAACTAAAATTCGATGATTGCGCCTCCACAGTTTCTATTTAAAAACTTGGGCGGATATATCCGCCGAAAAGTGTTGAATTAGTAAATGTATATAATTACCTCAAAATCAAATCAAATACTAATTTAATATGAAAGTTACTACATTAGAAAGTATTTTACAGTTAGCTTATATATTGGCCTTAGGAATTGTGATTTCTCATCAAAAGAGCCGAATGTGCATAGTATTTGTTTCATGTGGAAATGAAGAAGAAAAAATGTACAGGTTTACACATTTCACTTTGAAGTATTTCAGTGTTTTGCCTCATTATCCATTAATAATGAACCTGAAAATTCAATATCATAAGGAAAATAATAACATGTATACAATACTCAAGACATCGATTATGCACACATAATGGACTATTAGTTTCATCAAACAAGACAAGCCTTAGAATCATTACAAATTGTTATAGTTCATATTTATATTACGTAATTAAGAATAATTTATTTACTTCATTAATTACTTACATAATAAATTATTAACGAATTATTTAATTTCAAAAAAATTAAGAATTAATTATTATTTGAAGAAATTAGCAATAAGTATCTGTTTTATTCATTAATTATCGCTTGAATTATATTAAACCTATTCATTATTTAATATTATTTGGAGAGTAAATTGGAAACCATTAAATATTAAATTCATTTACATTTTTCATTAATAATGTATAATAATATTAATAGCTCAATTTGGTTTCAACCATTAATAACAATGCTCTGAAATTGGCAAATTATTACTCATTCATTAAATAATTTAACGATAAATTATGTAGTATTCAAAATTATGTATAAATTAGATACAATTAATTTTGTAGTGACATTGAAAATTCAAATAAAAAGAGTTGAAATAATGAAAGAAATGAAATTAAATATTTGCGATAAGAATGTTTTTCTTACGTTTTCAGAAATTATGTAAAATATATTTGAAAAATTTGATTAAAAGCTGTAAATAAATAAAAAATATTTTTTTTGCAAAATAGTAAAAATAAACTTCATTGTCGATTTATTCTAAATATAAATAATCCTTGTCTATGTTCAAACTTTTAATTAGAAAACTCCATGATTAAATAAGGGTAAATTCAATCAATGCAACGAGAATCCCTTGTTATGTACGCAGTTGCAAAATAGACAGGAACAAAAAAAAATCAGTTGCATGTAACAGGAGATAATTTTTTCGCAAAGCTCTTTTGGGAACGCGTTTTTCCGTTTGCACGCGAAAAATTACAGGCCGCAAAAATCTACAGCGAATTGCAAAAAAAAAAAAAGAGTATGGAAAAACCAAAGCACAGGGTCCTACGTGTCCTATTATTATTGCGGTCTTTTGTTGCGCCCTATTTAATTTTGCTTTCCGTCTCGTCGCCGCTCTATTTTTCCGTCAGTCCGTAATTACATTCGGTTGGCGCCCGCATCGAAACAAAACAAAAATTCAACAACATCAATGAATGAAAAAAACAACAACAACAACTGAGAGAATTATAGAAAAAAAAAGGAGTTCCGAACGATATTGTTAACTTTTTTTTGTGCGCTGCGTTGACCGCATCCACGTTCGAACGCCTACGCGAATTCCAGTATTTCCATATTTGAGAGCGCTTCTCCTGTCCACTTTAATCCACGCTCCATTAAAACAACAATAATGAAAAAACAGGAAAAAAAATATTTTACATGCATGAAAAGGCTAATATTTAAAAAAAAATTGGACAACGTAATCTGCTTCAGACTGGATTATCAAATCCTGCGGTTTTAGCTCCTTAATAAGAAAATATTTATGTGTTTTCTTCTATATTAAAATTAACCGTATTTATAATAACGTTTTATAGTTGATAAATACATTTTTTAGCTTATTAGTCTGATTTAAAGAAGAAATTTTTAAAAACACTGCTTTTTCTAGCGTTTATTTTGTAACATGACGAATGCTATCACGTACGAAATACAAATGTAAAGTATAAAAATCTCCAAGCTGGCTGGGCGTGTGTTTTGACTTGGGAAAATTCCGGGCGCCACTTCCTTTTACCAAAAGGAAGAACTCTAATACTGCTTCCTTATGATCAAAATTGCTTTCATAGTTCTGGACCAAACATCTATCAAAATCTCTTCTCTATTGGAGACCTCAATCGTCTCTTTTCCCGGTTCGATCCGGTCTCCCCGAAATTATGGAGACATCGTTGCACCGTGGAGCGTTGTTTTCAGTGTTGTCAACTTTACCACGTTATAATTTTTTCATTTTTTTTTCAAATTTGAACGCTAATTACAGCCAACCAGTAATACATAGTAATGTATGAACACTCGCTACATTTCGCAAACATCCAGCTTTCACATGCATCTTTTAAATCCATTCAATCTATTATAGTTTCCAAAAAAAATCACTAAAGTGAAAACACTGTTATTTCGACCGTTATTTTTTTTTTCATTTTTTCAACTTTAAATACCAATAACAACCAAATAGATACAGTAATGTATGAACACTTGTTACATTCCCCAAATATTCAGCTTTCATATGTATACATTTATTATAAAACTTATATAATAAAAATATAGAATCTCTAAAGTACTTACTTAAGGTGTCAAGTATAAAAATACTCGAAGCATATCGATTTAAACATCTTCTAACTACGCATTTTATACGCAAATACCATTAATTACGTGAAAAGTTACTTGTGCAATCGCGTTACACAATTTATATAAGAAAAAAATTATTTAAACGGAAAAGAATTTCAATGAAACTATTTTTATTGAATAGTCGAGACGTGGCAATAAATTATCTTTATCTTATCGTTTAGACCCGAGACGGAATTTATTACACATCTTTTTTTGTTTGTCTTTTACTACGTTTCATTTAATTTCATTCATAGTTTTTGCGTATTTGCGAGAAACACCAGACGTCTGCGTTTTTTTGCTGCATTCCTTTACAATCGACAAATATAGTATTTTTTTTATCAAATTTATTTTATGAATGAATGCATTAATTCTATACAAATTTACTTATACATTGGTTGCATAAATTTACATTTTTATAAAATAATGTAATTAAATTTAACAATTTATTCGTAAACCGAAACCTTACCTCCTATAACAATTGATGTAAAATGGATAAAATCCCAGATTACTTGTTTATTTTAACTTACATAACATTACTTTCATTAATAACATAAATATTTTGAAAAATTGTCTTTTTAATTCTTAGTATTTAGTATTTCATTGAAATAAATTGTTTAAATCTATATAATTTTACAGTTGAAATTCTGATTTGGATACATTTATCCTAATCTTTTTTTCCCATTGTCGGATTTAAAGTAAAAGCATTTTCAAAAAAAAACAGTTTTATCTTCCAGCCAGCATACTTTTTTTTGTTAAAACCTTGGTTATGTAATCCGTATTTACATCTTTCATATTTTTTATTTGCTGCAAAATTTAACTTTTTCTTCGCGTCGCAAATATGAATTAAGCACAATAAGGGTGGTTTTCTCCCGTTTATTTTATGTGGAGACAGATAGCGCTCTGATGCACTTCCTGTTTTCGGCGGGAGACACAAATGAAAAGCTTTTTATTTCGTGTAGCTCCTGCTTTTGTTTTGTTACTGCTAACGCTTTTATTTTATATTTTTTTCGTCGTTTGTTCCTTCTCCTGCTTGTTATGAAAATTCCTTCTGTTCTCATCTCTATTCTTTTCCGTTGTTTATGTTGTTTTTTTTTCTCTAGATGTACGTTTGTTTCATGTATTTTTGTTTTCGTTTCATGTTTTTTTTTTTTGAAGGGTTATCATTCTTTTTGCATCCCTTCTATAGATGCACATTTTTCAGAGGATCCGACGGGGGGTTGCGATTATAATAAATTCGGGGTACGAGCGCACAATGTATGCGCGACGCACATAATTCCTGAAGTAATCCGCGTTAGCAGTTGTAATTAAACATCAAATAAATCCGGTGAATAAATCATTGGAATTTCTCGGAGCCAGAAACGCCGAGGGAACATATGTATCCGGCGTTCGTTCACTCTGTTCTCTCACTCTCCCTCTCTCTCACACACACACCCTTTTAATATTTATGCCCGAATTACGCGCACAATAATTAATCACCCCAAATTTTAAACACTCTTGTGTCACACACACAGGCCATATCTTTTTTTTAAACCCTTGTTGTCGTTCATATTTCTGTGATTTTTTTTTAGAATTTACCACTTTTAAATATATTTTACATATTTTCATTTCCAAATGTATTTCTAGATATCCTATAATATTTGTTTAAGAAGTTATTTGAACATAAAATAAAAAATATATCGTTTCATTATAAATCAAATCAAATAAATATAAATCCTGATTTGGATAAGATTTCAACTGTAAAATTATATAGATTTAAACAATTCACTTCAATGAAAAACTAACTACTAAGAATTATAAAGACAATTTGGACTTAAAAAGTAATAAAAGCAATATGTAATTTTTTCAAAATATTTGTTTTATTAATGAAAGTAATGTTATGTAATTTTAAATAAACAAATTTTATCCATTTTACATCAATTTTTATAGGAGTTAAGGTTTCGTTTTACGAACAATTCGATTTTTTTTTAATTAAAAAAAAATATTGTTAAATTACAATTAACATAACATTAGAAACATTCAGCAATTTGAACGAATTTTTCAAATCTAGTAAGTAGAGAAGTTTCAGCAATATCAGCATAATTGGTTGCTTCAGCAATTTAAGCTAGATCTAGTAACTTAAGAGATTTTACTAATTAGCAACTATAGCAATTTCAAC